TAATATGTTAATAGAACAAACAGTTCGTTAATTATTGCTGATTAAATTGCAATTTATATAACCACAATGGAAAATGGGGGAGGTTGTTCATTGAAACTTCCGGTCCGCTTCGTAGCATAGTGCTTGCTAAGAGGTGCCAGGTGGTAACCCACTGATTACCTGACGATCGGCCAAATTTGGAAGACGTCTGCATTGAATTGTCTCGCATTGTAATATTCCGCCCACTAATATCACAATCAATTGCGAGTAGCTGAGCGGAATGGAGACAAGGAAAGCATTTGGTACAGGACCAAGTCTCTCCCGGCTGGCGCTAAAACAATGAACCTGGAAGCAACTGGATCAAGTTGTCATGTGGCACGAAATGATCCTGTTGCATGGCTTGGAGCTGTTGCAATCGAGGAAGGGGGGGGGGGGGGGGTTGGTGCTAACGTTTAATTTGTATTTGTATAATTTCAGGTGTTAAGGTGGTTCGCTGCCTCTGGATAGTGGGTTTGACGGTGGTTCAGCAAGAATAATATTGAGATAATGCAACAAACGTGTCAAATTAACTGCATTGGTAACGAAAACACATAATTCGAAACTTCGATTAAAACGTGGAATCTGTGCAGCACCAGTGGAGAACACTCAAAAGCTGCAGGTCTCATCAACCGCTGCCTGCGGTATATAACTTGTGGCTGGTGGCCTCACAAATGGATCTCAGATGTAAATGTCATCAGAAGCCGATAGCAATAGAAACGAAGTCTGCAGGCAAGCGTTTGATTATGAATTAAATCCGCCAGAACATTGCAGCAAAGGCAAATCAAATACTAAGGCGGCGGAGCGTCAACAAGGAAATTAAGCAAGCCGATAGGAATTTGACCTGGGCCCAGGTCAAGCAGCTGCCCAGAATGGAAGTCTTTCACGTTGGCCCTGTGCACCTCTGGAGGTTCCCAGGTATTTGAGTACGACGACGATGGATGTTTCCCCTTGGAACGGAATGAAAGCGAACAAACCTGATGTTGCACAACAAGCCGGCGTGTTTTTTTTTCAGCAAAACAACAAATTCTTCTATCTCTCTTCTTTATTCTTTTAATCTCTTACTATCCCATAATCGGACGCTAGTGGGACCAAAAAGCCTGCTAGTGAAAGGAAAGTCGTTATGCTATGCGGTCTAGCATAGGCCACTACTAAATTTCCTTAGGTTCAGGCCTGGCTTAAGTGCAGATCGGTAGGCAGCAGCCTGCCAGGGTGTGAACTGAGCAATATCAATAACAATTACATTGATCGATATTACATTTTTTTTTTTGCTGTGTGTAGAGTGGTCTTCATCATTGATCATCGGCATTATCCCAATATGGAATTGCACTTCAAATGAAGTTTACAACTTTATTGGGTATACTGGTCCAAATTTCTCCAGGTACGGTGAGTTCGCGTACTTGAAGGTTATAAAATAGACCCGTCACGCAAGTGAAAGTGGTCCTTAGCCTCTTACCCAGTAACTCCTATCCCTTCCTCCCCGCGGTGCCGGCTGGGGTACGAGTAACCTTAGGGAAGATCGGGTAACCAACCCCGGTGGGAACTTTGGTCGTATGCTGACAGAGAAGGGGGAGCTGCATCCTTTTCAGAGGATGTGGCTTACAAAACCCGAGCGTCTGTTCTCCATGTTAGGGGCGGCTCAAACAGCGTCTGACTGGCATCCAGCGGCTGTCAGCGATCTAAATTTGGTGTGTAGGACAATATCCTGTTATTAATCCAGTGTACACACCAAATTTAAATCGCAGAACATCAGCAAAATTTTGCTGATTTTAGACTTGATGAAAGATCAGCAAACGTTCCAGCAAAATAATGCTGCTGAATTTTTCAGCAATTCCAACTTCTGTCTGGGGCCTCCCTTAGCTCAGTCGGTAAAGGCGCAGCTACAAAGCAAGACCATGCTGGAGGTGGCTGGGTTCAATTCCCGGTCCGGCCTAGGAATTTTTCGGGTTGGAAAATTTCTCGACTTCCCTGGGCATAGAAGTATGATTGGACTTGCCACACAATTATACCAATGCAAAAATGGTACAGGCATCGAAAGCTCTCAATTAATAACTGTGGAAGTGCATCTAGAACACTAAGTTGAGAACATGCTATAAGCTAATATGCGATATGCAATAAGCTTGAAATGCGAAGAAGAAGAACTTCTGTCAAAATGACAACCTTTTACTGAAAATCAGCAATATTTCTTTACTGATCATTCAGCAATTAAAAATTTTGACATTTGGCTGCATTTTGCTGATTAAACAATTAAATTCAGTAAATCGAATTTGTTTTCACTATATGAGCTTCCAGCTTCTGTAAATATACGAATAATAAAGATAAAATCGCCAGACTCCTTTCCAAGTATCGTTTATTAAATATAACCAGTGTCCTTACCTACATAATTTTATCTATTTGTTGGTTTTTTTTTTACCTCTTCCTCCTCCAGTTTGAATGGTGGTGTACGAATGCAAAAATACTTGCGACTGTGATACTAACAGTTTGACAGCTCTTTTTCTGGGTGTAAGTTTAGGTTAGCTGATGTTTTCAGTAAAAATATCGTTTGCTGTTTTTCAGTAAAGCATTGGATTGCTGTTCATGATCCAGCTATCCGTTTTACTGATATTGAAAACTTAAATTTGGTGTGCAGGTAAGGAATCTGCCGATGATCATTTCTGGACCTGCTTTAGGCAGCATCTGGAAAAGATACATTAATAATAGAGTTAATTTTAACTTACTTTCATGAGGATCTTACCATTCTCGAAAATATATGATTTAGATATATACTGTATCAATAATATTGTTACCTGATTTTCACAACTGTTTACCTGTGAATCACGTGAAAAAGTATAAGTCCAACTGACAGATAGCACTTGCATATTTTACTGGTTTCCAGCAATTAAAATACGTTTACTGATTTCCAGCACTTCAAACTAAGCGTTGTTGCTATGCAGTAAAAAATTGTTTTGCTGAACATTATTCAAATAGCTGGAAGGCGAATTCAAATTAATAGATTCCATTGATAAGCGGAGGCAAAGTAGAATGTAGCCAAACGAACTGTCAGTAAGTGTAGTCAAACGAGCATGACGTCATTATGATGTTTTTTTGTGGGGGAAGTATTGTAATATTATGAACACAAAACGCTTTCCACACTTCTCGATTCATTGTTGCAAAGATTTGCTTTGCATTGAATTTCATTTTGAACTTTTGTGCACATCAAAAAACAAAACAAAACTATACAACTTATAGCGGCGCCTATGGTGTAATTGTAAGCGTGATTTCCTCTCACCCCAGCAGGCCTGGGTTCAATACCAGTCGGCGCCGCCGGAATGTTCTGAGGCCTAAAATCTCTGATCACGCCTTCCTTAAGACGGGAAGTACAGCCGTTGGTCCCCGGTCGATAGGTAGGGTCCAGATGTGGGAGCTGCCTCCCTGGCGTCGGTAGCATTGGTACTCAGCACGGAAAATCATGGAAAAAATAAAAACTGCACAACGAAGAGCTCTATGATGACATGACCATTTTTCACGGATGCCAGTAAGATCATTTATTTTTCATGGTTGCCAACAACTGTTTGTGCCTCCGCTAGTCTAAGGAATCTATAGTATCTATGGTCCCAACTGATCCACGAAACTTCACTGAAGACGTCAAATCAATTGGATGCAATCACAGGGCGTTATTATTTTGTTCCTGCTAGATTTCATCCCTGGCCCACTGTGCAGTGATTTTATAAGACTATTAGCAACGCTGGGCCACCCAGGAAGTTTTCGAAGAATTCAGCTTCTTTTTACGTTTAGAGTTGTCCACACGTTTATTATCTACCAAAAGGATAGCTCTGACACTCAAATTGCACCGACCTTCAGTTCATAGGTACTAGAGCTATCCCAAAGATGTGACATTCGATTGGTGATATTAGAGTAGCTATTCTTTCTCACAGTCATTCTCACACAATCGCAATGCAGGACATCTGCCGCTTGTTAAAAACTAAACACTAGAATCACATACATGCATTTTGTATAATACGTACAACTAACAACTCAAAACGATGATGATTAGCTGGGCATTTCTGCTTTGTATCATGTATGCATAAAGTGGATAATATGGCAACGAGAATTGTATGATTATGTTTTAATATTTTGTGTTATTTATATGAGTAGTGTTTGCTATAAAAATCTTACAGTCTGCTCTGCATCCTCAATAACAAAGCACATATAAATGGCATGCACGCTTCTGATCTGTCTTCTAAGCAGATACTTAGATCCTTTTCCAACTGCGTTTAAAACAATTTAAACATCTCCATTATTACTTTTAACCGGATTATTTCGTATCTCTTGGTAAAATCATCTGCTCGAGGTATTATAGCTATGCCGTTAATATAAAATAAGTGTGCTGCTTTTAGAAAGCAAAAGCTTGAGGGGTTGCTTCGCTGTGTGATGTGGAGCCTGCTTTCTGTTTGCTACCAATCCATATTTTTCTAGGTCATAAACTCCGGATACAGGCTATAAACTTGCTGCAGATAGAATTCCAACTATTTTTTTCATCTCGCATTTTTTTAAACAGTAAAATATGGTTTGCTTCTGCTGTGTTTTGAACATTTAGGGGGGAAAAGCTAAACCCATTCTAATACTCTTGTTTATGTGTTAAAATCATTTATAGACTAGAACATCCTTCATTCTGCTATCGAACGCACTTTTTGCTAATAGATTAACCATTTTGCTATTCATTCCGAAAGTAAGCTAATATTAAAACAATTTTTAAAAGTTGATTAACTTAGTACGGCTCGACTGAAATGATTCAGAAATACAATAATAGTTTTACTGTTCCGACAACTAATGAAACTCGAACCTTGTGTTATACTTGTTTAACAAAACATTCTAAAAACAAAACTCTGTATTTGATACAGAACTTACTAAAATTTACTAACAATAATTAACAGATATTAATCTTTCCATAAAGTTCCAATAACATTTTTCAGTAATAAATTCATCCTTCTGTTACTGGCGGTATATGCTCTAGATTGATCTAAAGAAAGCCATTTCGATACTGATAGATGGATAGTGTCCAGCGCACACCTTATAGCAATTAATAATAGGAAGATATGAGGTATAAAAAGCTGAACTTTGAACAGAAAATTCCGTTTTGAACACTTAAAAGCCACTTCACTCTGAACCTTCATACGTTACACCTACATTCGTGAGTCCTTACAAAAAACCTTACTGAGATTACTTCGAACCCTTCCCCTAAAGCATCATCCGCTAGTCGAAGATGCAGGCGAAAATCGATACGCAGGTCAGAATCAGTCGTTCGCAGCAGTTCCGTTTCTCGCCTTCCGCTTCTTCGGCCGCTTTGCGCATCTTTTTCGGATAGTTCTTTGGATTGCTTCGGGCAGTTAGGTGAATCGGCATCGGTGCGAACTGTGGCCTTTGCTCTTTGAAATTAGCCACCATCGTTTGCTGTTCCGGCGTGAGGTTCGTCACTTTCCTCCCGTTCAGTATATCTCCGACCAGTTTGGACTCGGCCGGATCCAGCAGTTCGATGCGATCCTTAGCCCCTTCAAACTCCTTCCGTGTCATGGTGAGGTAGCGTGGCGCGTAGCATAGTGCCCCCAGTACTCGGCGTCGATTTTCAACCGACAGTTCGAGATTCTTGCGCAAACACTCTTCCCGGCTCCAGTTGGCCAGCAGATCCAGCAGGACCATCTCGGATGACATCTGGAGTGCGCCACGCTTGGCAATCATTTCCAGCTCTTCGAATCTCAGTGCGAACATTACTTCCTGTGCAAAAACGTCCTCCGTGTGCATATCGATCAGCTGGAGGCAATTGTTCAGCAGGGCAGCAAAGTACTCCTCCGGAGTGACGGGAGTTTCCGGTTTGTCGTTCTTTCGACTGCTGGTGGAGCGTCGTTTCTTTTTCTGCTGTTCGGCGGCGGCGGCTTTAACCGGAGTGATGGAGTTGTAGTACCAAAGGGCGCGAAAAACCTCCAGCACGTGGTCGATCGTAAGGTTGAGATCTAGTTCCTTGACGCAGTGGATTTCCAGCTGGCGGCACTGAAAACGAGATGCAATTTCCAACATCTGGAGCATGTGGCTGGCGGTGTGGAATTTTATGAACTTGGTCTCGAGGTACCTGGGAATGAGATGAAAACAGTAGATTGGTAAAGGGTTTACGGAAAGCATTAGTTTTAATAATGTAATAACCTAGAACGCCACAGCCCCAAATTGCATAATTAAGATCTCAAATCTACACACTACAAAAATCTGAATTTTACTGGGGATGTAAACATCCATGCATGCAAACATTCATGCATGTAAACTTCCTTTTCACGTAAACTAGCAGCTTGCAAGAAATGTTGCAAACAAAGGTGAAAAGTTGCATACAATATATGGAATATTGCATGACATGTCTCATAAATTTACACGATTTATAATGTAAATTTGTATGATTTATGACGCTCCATTTATGTACATCATAGTAACGGAAATTTACATTACTTTTTTTTAGCTGTGTACACAGCAACAAAATATTGTAAATTAATTATATGATTTGAGTAGTAGCTATACTGAAGATCCGAAAGATGTCGCCCCTACAGTGGTAGGAAAATCATTTTTGCAGTATGGAGAATATCAGAAAATCCACGATTTGAGACTAAACATGCTTTCACAGAAGGAAACAAATAAACGAGTGTTTACCTTATCACCATACTAATGTACTCGTGCAATTTTTGTGCATCTAAAACTGCCCATAAAGACGATAATAAATAAAAACTGAAAATTTTCATGCATTTCCAAATGGTTTCCTACAATTCCCATACATTCGAAAGTGACTGGCCCTCTGGATGTGGATGATGTCAAAAACAACAAAACATGATTAATTGAAATTAGTTTTCTTTAATATAGAGACTTTCAGCCTTCATTCTGTATATCAAATATTGATGGAAGGTACATCGGGGCAAGTGGAACCTAAAAAATTGATAGTTCAACATTATGTGCTTGTCTAAATACAATAATCATTATTTTCAATTTTTAAAAGCATAGTAATTATCTGTTGACATCCCTGCACACAGTGCTGCGTGCTGTCAACAATATCAATTGACGTAAGATATTGGTCTAGAACAGAATTTCACTTCCGACACTGATATTCGTAGTAAGCATGATATCAGGCTGCACGGCTTTGATATTTCCATCGAATATCACTAGGGAAAAGTTGAACATCTTACTTTTATCTCAATAAATCAACTTTTTTGTATGTCACTTTTAATTGTTTTAATATTACTGATGAGTTTTCTAAAAATCGATACTCGATTAGCTGATGTCCGAAAGTTAGGATAACAATAACAAACCAACATTTTTGGCTGGAGTGAAAGTGAGTATGCCGGCGCCGGTGGTGTAGTGGTAAGCGTGACTGCTTTCTCACCCCAATGGGTCTGGGTTCAATCCCAGCCGAGATCGGTGGGATTTTTCTGAGGCATAAAAATCTCTGGTAACGTCTTCCTCCGGAAGGGAAGTAAAGCCGTTGGTCCCGGTCCATGTGTGTTGATGAATGGGTGCGATATCCACCGCAGGTGTGGAAGCTGCCTTCCTGCACATTCGATTGCCGTCAATGGATGGCAATCGACGCCCATCGGTGATTGGCACTAGATTGCGGAACAGAGACCGACGTTAAATAAAGGAAAGAAGAAGAAGAAGAAGAGGATAACAAACCTCGCACTTGAAAATGGGATTACGCAAGTGTGCGAGTTATAAACGTCAGAAAGGTCAATAAGGGTAGGTCCATTAATTATGTCACGCAAATTTGGCCCATTTTCAACCCCCCCCTCCCTCCTTTGTCGCATTATACACCTTAAATTTGTTTTGTATGGCTCGTCACAGTTTCCAAAGGCGCCCTCCCTCCTGAAAGTGTGACATATTTAATGGACGATCCCTAAGACACATTTGAGCAAACACGTGTGGTGTAAACGACAGCTGTAACATATGCAGTACACCCGCAAAGTTTGTTATGGGCCATACATTTATAGACCAGTTAAGAGGGTACTATTGAATTTTTGAAATCCCATAGTGGAAACATTTGATATCAGTCCCATGGGCAGAACATTGAATATCTGCGGTCGCTTTACGATGTCAATGTAATTTGCGCACTGACATGATGGCGAATGATATTGATATTCTAACCATAGAGGTAACTCTAAGACTAGGAACGTGCTCAACTTTTTGGCTCAGCTCTGGTACTCTCTTCGGTCCCAAGCTAATCGATTCACCCCTCGAAACATAGGAAAATCCACTAACCCCTCATTTTATCTGTAAAACTTTCATAGCGAATCAAAACAAACATTGTGTAGTACTAGAATTTCGACAAGAATGGGGTACGTTAATCGTTTGCTTGGGACCAATAGGCTAGTCAAGTAGTAAGCCAATTTAAAATCGTTACTTTCGTATCGATTGTTGTTCTAACTGTGCGAACTGATACTGACATCAGGTGGCTAATGAAATTCAGCATTTTGCATTATTGATAGCATATTTCAGCATTATTGATATTTGCAGCACTTCCTGCACATGCGTACGCACATAAAAATCAGATAGCCAACTTTTTAAAGACTGTACTCTAAAAAAGTGAGACACATTGATTAGTTTGTAAATTTTTAGCGTATGGGTAAACATTGATGAAATTTTCACTAAAACTCGCTAAGAGTGGTTTTCGCTGGCAGAATTTCATCATAATCTGTCAAGTGTTTATCAAGAAAAAAATTTGTGCGCCGTCCTGGGAAATCCGACTGCGTCCCACAGATGGATCGGAAAACACCTGGGAATCCATCATTCAACGATTTCCCGGGTGGTTCAAGGAAACCCAGACAACCCAGCGGCGGGTAGACTGCGGCAGCAAACCGAAGACAGCTGACCCGGTGAAGGCCAGGAAGGTGTTGAGTCTGTTCAAGCATCGGCCGAATCTTTCGTTCGCGATGCGACGAAGAAGGCGGATGTTTCCATCCGGTTTGTCCAAAAAACGATGAAAAGAGCCGGAAGGCACCGAACCGGAACGACAAACAAAACACGGTGGCCAAAACTCGCGCCAGGAAGCTGTACCAGGAGTGGCTGACGAAACCGCGGTGTGTTGTGATGGACGACGAGACTTACATCAAAGCGGACACAAAGCAGTTGCCGGGGTAGGACCTTTACGTTGTCACATCACGGTTGGCCGTTCCTGAGGTAGAAAAAAGTGGACAAATTCGCCAAAAAGTTCTTGGTTTGGCAGACCATTTGTGGTTGCGGCAAGATGAGCCAGCCGTATATCACGACGGGTACCATCAAGGGCAAATCTACCGGAACGAGTGCCTCCAGAATCACCCTCTACCCTTCCTGCGGTCTCACGGAGGCGAGACGCTGTTATGACCGGACTTGGCATCCTGCCACCAATGTCCTTTATATAAGGTCTGGGCCAAAGGGCTTATTGTGTTTCATTGCAATGTTTATCTTTTACACGAATCAGCTGTTGGCAGTGAGGAAATTCTATCTGTTCGCAGTATGCAATGTTGCGTAGAGTGACGTCGACACTTGCGTGCTCAGAAATGTTTACAATATTTTTGCTTCTAACACCAGCAAGCTGTCGGTTGGCCCAGACGTTATATAAACGTCATTGTCCTGCCACTACGCGTGGCCGGTGTTAGACTGGTACAGAGACAACAATGTTGTTTTTGTGCCAAAAGACGTCAACCCACCGAACTCGCCGGAACTTTGCCCGATTGGAAAGTTTTGGGCCATCATGAAGGCCTAAGGTGTTGGAGAACGAGCTGACTTTGAAGAAATAGTGGGTAAAAGTATCAAAAGAAGTCGGCCCCATCATTGCCTAAAACCTTATGAGTGGTGTCAAGGGCAAGATGCGGCCATTCGTTTTTAGAGCGCAGGGTGGCCAGCAAACCGGGAATACCGGGAAATATCCGGGAATTTGAAAAGTAACCGGGAAAAACCCAGAAATTCAGTTAGAGAACCGGGAAAATGAATTAACCATAATACCATAAGAACACCAGAATTTCAGAATAAACCATTAAAACAGAGTGATCCTTTAACAAATGAATGTCTTGCTCTATTTGCTGCATAATTTTTTTTTCAGTTTCCCGTCTCATTGTTTTTAGAATTTAATCACTCAGCAATATTGGAAATTGATTTTTGTCGTCTCAATTTCAGATGTAAAGTGCATGGTTCTTAATAGAAAATATTGAAGATGCTGGACTTTGGAAGCAAATATTTGTTATAACCGAAACTGAATTATTCTTTTTCGGGGTTTTAATTTTTCGTTGTTCAAAATTCTCATGATATCAATTCCAGAATTAACTTGGAATTCTACTCTGAATTATCGTGAAATTGTTCAGAAATAAACCAAAAAACACTCCGCGTAATAATTACCGTTGAATTCTTTTTGGAATTTCCTTGCCACCCCTTCTAAGAATTTAATTGGAATCCTTCTTAGAATTCACTTGAGCCTATCCGGAGACTTTTATTTCTTTGGAAATCTTTACAAAAATTTATTTTAATTCTATTGAAAACAGCAGAAATCTTTCGAAAATTTATTTAGAAACCCCTTGGAGTTTTTTAAAGAATTTCTTTCTAATTTTTTGCACTCAATTTTGTTGGAGTTTTGTGATGAATCTTTTGCACTAGGGTTGAAATTATTACCAGAACACTCTTAGAACTCTGTTTCTTGTTGAATTATGATCATAATTCTCTTAAATTCTTCTTAAAATCATCTGTCATACAAATCTCCTCAGAATCACGTAGGGATTTTCCCGCAAAGTTAAGTTTTTCACAACTCCTTTTTAAATCTTCTAAAATTACCTAACAATTTAATTTAGAACTTGCATTCTTCTCCACAGAAATCCTTCGAAATTCATCTAACAATTTCTAAGGATTTCATGTCAGAATAATTCTGGAAATCTGCTCAGAACTTTTCCTTCGAAAACTGTGTGGGAATCCTCAATATTTGTTTGAAATCAACACTTGAATTCTTTTAAATTTTACTAAAATATTCCAGTGTTTTCCCGCTAGATTCTATAGCTTGTTATGTAATATTTTATAACCCTTAAAATGCTTCCAAGTCTCAGAGTGTGACAATTATGACTCCACGACTCAAAAGTATGATTTTTTTTTTAAATCTGTGATCTTGATTTTTTTTTCAAAATATCACATTTTAATTATTTTTACTCCAAATCTTGTTGATTGTTATTAATCACAAATTTTGAAAAAAAAGCTCTAGTTTCAGACTATATACAAATTTTAAAGCTCCAGAATCTTGGGAATCTTCTTAAATCACTTTTTTATCTTTTCAGTAAATTCCTTTCAGCACGTTCTTAAAAATGCGTTCAATTTCGGTTTTTCTTTTGTTGAATAATAACAACCGGGAATTTTTTAAGATTTTTAACCGGGAAAACCGGGAAAAAACCGGGAATTTCAAAATGAAAATTCACTGGCCACCCTGAGAGCGGAGATCCAACAAAGCAATGAAGAAACCCAATCATATTGTTGTAGTTTATTCCCTGAAAGTTTGAAGAAAATCCGACTTAAAATGAATTTTTGGCGACACTCACTTTTTTCGAGTTCAGTCTGTTGCGGAATGCATTCAGCAAGTTCCAGGAATGGATCGTGCCAAACCGAATCTGGTTTCTAAACTCTTTTTTTCTTCACTGCATTGCTCTGATGTTGCAAATTGGACATTAAGGTTACAATTTGAAAGTGCCCATTCGTACAACTCTTTTGGCGTTTGTATAGTTGTGCTCTGCAGAGTGGCTCTTGCCAACCTTTTCACGGTACCACCTATTCCGTCGCTTGGGCCCTTACCGTGTGCCGTTGCAAAATAGTGCCACTCAGCTGGAATCCTGAAGTCTTCTTCATGGAAGAGCTGTCCTGGAACACAAACGAATAATTTTCGGAAAAGTCAGCCCTCCTTCGTGCAAGTTGGCCCGAGTAAACTGATAGAACTCTGTTTGCCTTGCTGCTATGTAGTAGCGTCTTAAAAGTTCAATACATCCCAAATTACAACTATCGTTTTCTGTCGATAAGTGAGTCATATGTAAAATAGTCTGCTGTTCATTTGAGCGTCGTTGAAATTCGAAAAAAGTAGGAGCATTTTGGGAAGTTTTCATTTAATGTTTTCAACTGCAAAAAACGCAAAGTTGGCAACACTGGAGAACTAATCCCATTTTTGTATTCGGTTTGATTGAAAGTTGAAAGGTTCAGATTTTAAGTAAAGCTACAGATTTCGTCGTTTTTAACGGCTTTTATGAAGAGACCAACTTTCTATATCGAAGCATTTCGGAGTAAACGAAAAAAAAAACAAACAGAGGAAAATGTTGGCCTATGGATCTAAGATTAGGCCTATCGCTAAAAATCTGATATTTATCAATTTTATCTAGATGAACGCGTCATTGGGACGGTGCTAATGGATATTTTTGGTCACTATTGAAAATTTAGTCCATTGTTGAATTAATGTATGGACTCAAATAAGGGGCATTTAGGCCGACATTACATCCATTTCCCCTATGTACCAAAAAATAAATTGTTCATAACATGATATTAAATTACCAAACTTCTTTTTTGTGATTTTTCTAGTAGAACCATGCGTTTTGATACCGTTTATGAAAATAAATCAAAATTGATAAAAATGGCTCGCAACGGTTCTTTTAACCCTCTCCTTCACATAACTAGTAGCACAGAACAGGTGATCCACAACTTTTTGGTCTGTTTCCAATCTATCATCAAATAGTCAATACTTATTTAATCTTTATCGTGTGCTCATTATTCTTGTCCATATACATTATAAATTCTTGAGAATTCAACGGAGCAACTATTGAAAACAATTAAAATACAAACACTTTTTTATGGATTCGATCATTTTAGCTAGTATGGATTATCTTTTGTTCTAGCACTTTTTTTCAAAAACACTTTTTGGAATCTCAAATCAACGTAAAATCTCCTATGAAGGAAAGTGTTATGCTATTTAACCCTCGATTTAACCTTCCTAATGCATTAGGAAAAATTTACACAGTGTTTCCAGGACAAAAAAAAAAGATTCTAATGGTCCAGGAAGGTTACAAGGTTGATCAATTTCACTACAAAATAACAATGCTTATTCAAATGCCATTAGTTAGTTTGGTTCTTATTTTATTTTTGAAATTTTGGATAAGTGATCAATTTGCTCCAAGTTACAGTAGTATGTGGACAAACAAAAAAAAATATCAAATTGAATCCAATCAAAATGTTCAGCCTACTCAAATTTCGCGAAATCCACCTGCGATCCCGCTGTTTCTCTTGACACGCTCATTTAGCGAGGATAAATGTTCCCCTTCCATCGCTTTCCATTCCAAATTCAGTAGCCGTGTGGAATCCATTCATCCGTGAAAATGTTCAAATTCATCGGATCATTTCAGTGCACCAAAATGTATCGAGTTCCCGAAATTCAATTCCTCTCTTTTAGGGCGTCCTTCTTTTGATTTTGCCAAAGGTACCCCACACTGCACCCAACTTTTATTCGTTTCGACACATTCGCGACCCAAATTTATCGATCAGGAACGTAATGCGAGGTCACACAAAAAGAACTCACCTGATAAAAATCTCGAAGTTATCCTTATCCACATCGCGCACCACGTACTTTCCATCGACGATGGTCGTCGACGACACCGCTCCGTTGATCATATGCGCCAGCTGGGTGTTGGAATCCAGCACCGCTTTTTTCTCGGCCCGCACGCTGTAGTTCTCCTTGTTGCCCAGAATCAAAAAGTCTACGTAAATGTCCGGATTGCTAAAGTCGTCCCCCTCCTGGTTGATCTGCACCAGTGGGGGTGCCGTGGGCCGTGGCATCGCGACCTGATCGCCACCGTTCTCCACCGACGTGTTAAACGGCCGCACCATCGCTCGGGCTTCCTCCCCGTTTGCGCCTATGTTTGTTCCTTGCGATTTCCGAGACTCCTCCCAGGCCACCGTGAGTCATAGACGATAACAAGAATGCAGAAAGCAAACCACACGGTGGGCAGAAGAGCAAAACAATCGCGTGTACTTTTATGCTTATTTCGAATTACCAATTCCAACGACGACGTCTCGACGGAACCGCGTTTAGAAGTATACTGTGCGAGCGGCTTTCCTGATGATGTGTATGCCCACGCAAACCACAGTCGTGGACGATGTTCGGCCAGTTGGGAAAATCTGCGAAAATAAAACAAGACGAAGCAACTTGATAAAAAAAAGTGTTTATCGATTAGAGCTCATTTTGGCTGTCTTGGGGGGTTGCAGTTGTGCTGTGTTGTTTGTATGCATGTGTGAAAGAGTTTTGAAGGTGTGCTGTACCTTTTGATAGGGTAAATTATTTTATTAGACTCACTAACGATTTGCAATCGATGTGGTTTGGTTGCCGGCCGGTAGGCAGCTAGGTCGGTTAATGCGAAACATACACAGAACACGTTGTGCTATCTTTAGGTTAGGTATGTTTGCACTCGATAAAACATTAACATCAGAAAGATAAGACAACGTAGAAATTCTAGCTAAGATAATGTTTACGGTCGTTTTATACTGTTGGTAGGTGTGATTTATATGTTAATATGCTTAATTGGAAATTCAAACTGTATTCAAAGTTGTTCGAGAGCGATAAGAAAGATACATGTACAATGAACCTTTTCTTCGGAAATTTCGTAGAATATGAAAGCAAATATTTATGTTTATATGACTTCGTATTCCTTAGAATTACCAAATCATGCGCTTTTTCATTTCATGCGCGATGATTAAATTTGTGTCCAGCTCATATGTACAGTCACAGCTCTTGGTAGAGTCGCAAGTCTCGTGCTTAGTATTGATTACGACTAAATGATCTCCTGTCGTCTTATTTATTTTCCTTGCTCGCTCACATGCTTGTAATCTAGCATTTAGCTGTTATTAACTACCGGCCATTCAGAACTATAATTCATTATCTACACTTCAAATGCCAATTCAACCCTTAGCTGAGTGCAGAATACTCGTTCAAACTGAAACGAGACTTTTTGTTTGTTGTGTGACAAATCGTGGGCTAACTGTCATCTTTGAACTGATAAAACAATATGGTAGCAGAATACTTTCGATGCGAGGGATTCCCTCACCGGTTGAATCAACTTATGAAATCCAAATCGATCATTATAAGTTCTCTCCGGATAAGTAAAATGGTGATTCCCATGTCCAATGATATACTTCAATCGCTCATTACGACCGGTTGTATTTGTGATAAATTTAGACCTACTATCAGCAGCAAAAAGGGGAGAAGCCAATAGGTAGGTGCATAAACAAGGAGTGGCGGTTATCATATCAAATGACTAACCGTTCCGGAAGAAAGACCCCCTAGATAAGTGAAGTGATTAAAATGTGAAAAATGGCTATCAAACGTTTTCATTACAATCGCAGATGTTTTTTTTTTCTCATCTGTTCTACGGTCTGTATCGAAAAATAATGATATAAACGAATGTTTACTTCCAAATCAATATAAAATATTTGTTAATAAAAATGTCCTGCTTTACAAGTTAACGATATTAAACTAACAAAAAGATATTCTTTAACCCATTAACGCCCGAATTATTTCTAATAATAAACACCTGATTTTTATCTGAAGCATTTTCATAAAGTCTAAGAATTGTTTTAACGACATTAAAATCTACGGTCACAGTTTTTTTTATAAAACACGGTGGGTCATATGCATCTAAAAAAATAGTGATAAAATCTGTTTTCAGCAATTACATTTTTGAGAGTGCTTTGATAAAATTAAGGTCATAAATTATAACTATGGGCTGTTCATACCACGTAGACACCTTGCGAGGGGAATGATGCTGGATGATGATTGTTTACGGTCCATACAAATTTCAAAAAAAAATGTAAGGACGATAGTCTATGCAGAGGGAGGACCAAAAACCTCTCAAAAACGGTATACAAAGTTAATGAAAAGCCCACTATTACAGAAAATTATATCATACACGGAGATGAAAAACTACCCAAACTTAAGTACTTTTCCCTCAATTCACGGGTTCAGCCCAATAACCCAAATTTGAGTAAATCGCATATAGTAGTTTTCATTTATTACCAGCAAAATAAAAATACTTACTCCTAAGTATATTCCACCCAAAATTAAATTTGAGAATATGCAATTTACTCAAAATTAACTTATTGGGCTGAACTATATAGTTGGGTCGAGTCTCTCGTACCTTTTTCGACAACAATAACGAGTGCAAGTAAGAGGCTAAACTCAAAATTAAGTAAAAAGAACTCACATTTTAGGTAGTATTTTTTCTCCGTGTATACTAAATAAAGGTAGAATCAGATCAGTATTGAAAGTGTTAGTTAAATGTCAAATACCGTATGCGTGATAATGTTTGCACCATTTAACGCAGCCATGGTAAAAACACTGAACCCTTTTGCACGGGTGGCAGTTTTGTCAACAAACACACCACCAAGAGCATTGGGTTTTACGCTCCGTACCAGTGCTCGATAGAAAACACCAAACGCAGCGAACAAGGCACCGGTACCGGTGCCCGTGCATAATTATTTGCACCGGTGTGTGGATGCTTCGGCAACCACCAAAGCCGAGTGTTTTGACTTCGGGAAACACCGAAGCCGAGTGTTTTCGATTTCGGAAAACACGTTTTCTGAAAGATTATCGTAGCTCTTATACGCATTTAGCATCTTCCATTCCTTCTTATGCTGATAGATAAGTGGTCATAGCAATACTTCCATAATGCCAATGTCCGTGGTCTTTTCCAGTCTGTCCCCTTTCAATTTTTTTTGTCAACATTTTTCATAAGGTGAATCTATGAAATTCATTTCGATTTCTTTTGGCGAAAAAGCATTATGCAATCTTATAAAGCTTATGAGCTCAAGGGATCGCCTACCAGGATTTTTTTTAAATACGCAAATCACCCACATCGCAAGAGTGTGTTTCTGTTGCCGTCCACCAACTGGTATTTCTTGGCTTTATATTAAATAATTTAGCTGATTGATGAGAGTCAATCTAATAATCATAACTTATCTCCAACAAAAACAAAATATTGAATAATAGAAGAGATATATGGGGGGGTAGTGGGTTTACATAATATGTAATATATTATATGCTGGTTCACTATTTGATAATAAATAATTTATTATATGCTGGTTCACTAGCTCAACCAACTCAACTAACTAGCACGAATTTCAGAGGCTCCTAAAGTTTCAAGCTGGTGGATGCTGACGCCCTGTTTACATTATGCTGACTATTTATAAGTACAGCTTTAGTTCACTAGCATCAGCATACCAGCACAGATGTAAACACCCAAATAGCGGTGGTTGAACAGAACTATTCATCATTCATGTTGGGTAGAACAGCCCGAAATGCACCCCGGGCCAAACGCGCGATTCCACTCTTAATTTTGCCGAAATGCTAGTTCAAGTACTAAACTAAGACTGTGACGTGTCAAATTTATGAATTAAAAACGAAAATGTTATGAAAAATCGCATCGAGCTATTTGCGCGAGGTGCATTTTGGGCTGTTTTCCCCTAAATAAAAGCAATGCGCTCAAGAAGGATCGCATTCTACCTTCTACTAGCTCCGTATCAGCCATGGTAGCTGTTATGTTGTTGTTGGATATACTCAAATCGTGTGGAAACAATCAGCTCAATTAGTTAACATAAAGCCAAGAAATACCAGTGGGTGGACGGCAACAGAAACACACTCTTGCGAGGTGGGTGATTTGCGTATTTTTAATAATCCTGGTAGATGATCCTTTGAGCTCATAAGATTCATAAGATTGCGTAGCCAAAAGAAATCGAAATGAATTTCATAGATTCACCGTATGAAAATAATGTTGACAAAAAAGTTAAAAGGTGACAGACCAGAATTGAACCATGGACATTGGCATTATGAGAATATCATCTAAACGCGTTTCATACCGGATCATCTCTCTCAAGTTTTGTAATTGTTCGTCCTCCGAAAAATAGTATGGTCCATCTTTTATCGATTCGTACCGTGTAATTGTTCCATTCTATTTTCAGATTATAAATGAGTCCTGATGAATGTGGGCGTCTTAGTGGAATACCTGTATAATGAGAGAGAGAGCTTCTCTCTCTCATTATATAAATGAGTCTTCTAGTCGCACATCTATGAGTACTATCTTGAAGACATTTAGCTTGCATGGCCCTCGACTGAAATAACCACGGCACTCACAGTATTACAACGATTTGTAATGGAAATTAAATGCAGTAGTTCAATGTAGTTGTAGTTAGAGATTACATTCGATTATTTTATTATATTATTGCAACATTGTGCATTGTATATTATGCATTGAAAACACAATATGCCTCATTAGTGTACCATGGCTCGACGACAAACACCACTGTTTTCAGAATGTTTTTCAATTAAGAATTCCATGTTGCCGATGATTACAATTTTCAAATTTAAGCATGCGGATGGCAGACTTAATTTTTAAATCAGATCAATCGCTTTGGGTAGAAATCTTATTTATTATTTCCCTCCCATGTTACTGACTTCAGTTTTTGTTTGCTATAAATTTTGTCCAAACTGTTACAAAAATATGGATCAATACTTTTTAAATCCGTGCCATGTGATTGGGTATTCAGGTTCTTTTTATAACCAGTAGCGGTGAAACTGCCATACCAGTCCACGACCAAACTGCTACCCCTATTATTTCGCTTTAGTCGACGGTATACTATAGGCAGCCTTGCCGATAGGATAGAAACTGTATCATCAACCATCTCCGAATCGGTTCCGTAACCTCATCACAAGCACTCGTTGGGTTGCCGTCGATGTTTATTCAAACTGATGACAGTTGACCTGATTCCACTTGTTGACATAGGACTACTTCGATCACTTTTGAGTAATTATGAGTAACTCAAATTTACTCGATTTAAAAATATTAGCTCAGCTGGTTTGCATGAAATTAGATCTGTCGAAATGAGTTTGACAGCGATTTGTTATGTACTTTCCTTGGATGTTCACTAACACGCTCTCACATATCGCACCAATACAACCGGACGTGAAAATCTCTGTACGCTGGACATTGAAAGTTGAAGCATAGAGCAGGAAGTTAACCCTAATAAAATTGTTATGGTTATTTTGTTTAACGACGTGTTCGGGGTATCATCCAAACCATTTGTGGAAAAGTTCGACTATTTATGTTATCGTTCGTTTATTAGGGATAGCA